GGCAGGTAGTAGAAATTTGGGCATTTAACAAGGTGGGGGATGCAAATGGAGGGGGGAACTCTGCTCTAGACAGTGTGAACTGTGCAGCAATGATGCTGAGGTGCCACAGGGCTCAGTCCCTAGCACTGGCTGGAGCAAGTACCCCTGGCATGTCAGAGAGCTTGACCTAGACTCCTAGAATGGAGAGTATATTGCACAAATATTTGTGCAATATTTAGGCACCTCACAAAGCAAATTTTACAGAAAAATATGTGATTGTTTCCAGTTCTCAAAACTGGAAGAGGCTTGGGAAAATGTGTTTATATGCATTTCATAATAAAGACAGCCAGATACAAACCTTGTATGACAGCCATCTTATGAACAATCTCTGTATTTCATATTCTCAGGAAAAAAAGAATATTTACACAATATACTTGTATTTAGGAAGTTTTTTAAAAATATATATTAGAAAATAAGTAGATATCTGACACTTGAATTACAGACAGACTCCAACAATCACAGCACTACGCCTCTCCCATATGCTGTTTCAAACTGCAAAAGTGATGCAAATGAACTCCAAACTCATCAGTAAGACTCAAGGCAATGTTCTCACAACACAACCTGCTCCTCTTGCCTAGGGATCATTGTTAACATGTACATAGGGAGAACAGAGTAACGGAGCTGATTTCTGCTGTGCAGATCTGAGAGCACAGTTCTCTCCTGTTTATCAACTGTTTTTGTTCTCTTCAGGTTTATTTGGGTACTTCCTTATCTGGTTGCCTTATAGTGTTGTGTTGCTCTTTCCTTCAGGTCCCTATTTTGTTAACTACCTGTGAAAGACTGAATAATGCCCTAATTGCCCCCCCCCCCCCCCCCAACCCAGGCTGGGGGGGGGGTTGACTTGCTGGAGAGCAGCTCTGCAGAGAAGGACCTGGGGGGGTTCCTGGTGGACAAGAAGTTGATCATGGTCTTCTCACAATGAAAACACTTCCTTGCTTTCTGCAATCGTCGTGGTCTCTAATAGCATGTGTCTATAGGCTGGGTCCCAAAGACTGTCTTGCTGTTTTCACATGGTCCAAAGGGACAGTCTTCTTTTCATCCTCTGTCTTCTGCTTCTTCTTCGTAGCATTGAGCTAAGGATAAGTAAACACTTATAAGACAAGCCTGTACCCCATAATGGCATTACAAGTAGCTATAAGGTCCTGCACAGCCATGGACAAAGGGAGCCCCCTCCCCCGCCAATCCTCTCCATCTGACACTCATCTCAATCTTCTGTTTCTGAACCCCCCAACCCAACTGCCATGTGTTCCAATCTGTGTGGTCTTTTTCAGGAAGCCCTTTGGGGCTTTTCCTTACTGTCCCCACACACAAGTTCCTGTGAGTTTGGCTTTTTGTTCTGGCTTTCCATTTTAGTGAGCAGTGTTGCTTGCAGTGCATAGATCAAAGGCTGCCCCAGTAATACTGTATTGTCATCCAGTTGGTTTGAGGTCAGGTAAGGGGGCTTTTTGGGCAGACTCACAGAATTGGCCCCTTGCCCCAGAGACATATTCAAACTTGTTCATGTTCCCCCACCCTCTGTGGGGCACTCTCATCCTCTTCAAGTCCTAAAATGTCTGGGGTGGGGGGAGTTTTACAGGAGACTTGTAAAGGGGTAGTCCCGAGACCATATTTTCTTGTTATATATTTTTCTTTCTATTCACATTTAAACTTTAACATTTTATTTCATTATCTCTTATTTAACAATCTTTTATACATACTACATACATACTATATAGACACTTTTAGAAAAACTAAAATATACAAAAAGTGTATCTATATATGTATAAATAAATATGTATATGTTTCTATATATAGATATGTATGAAGGCTTCCCATAAGCTGCCAACCAATCACAAGGCACAAAAATATATAGATATGTTTACATGCATATATATGTAAATATGAATATATCTCTATATATAAATATATAGAGATATAAAAGTGCTTCCTGGTCCTAAGGAAGTTGCCAACCAAACACAGTGTTCTGAGATCACATGGGGTATGGTTGTGACAAAATAGCAGCCCATATAGGCAATGGGGAGGGGCTTCCTGGCCTCCATTTACTTCCAGTGTAAACAAGGAGGTGTGGGTTCAGCTGCCATCCAAGTCACGTCACCCCCAAAAAACAAACAATCCAACAAAACCACAAAACCACTTTCCCCACTACAATAGTTCCAAGCATCTCATGCAATTCATCTTTCCAGGTATTAATATATTATACCTGTAAAATACTTTCTAATTTGGTTCTTTCCTTAAGAAGCAATTTATTTTCACTATTACAGGAACATAATCCTTCTTATCTAAGTCGCTTGCAAGTCTTTGCTGCTGCTCTTTCTACTTCTGCTGACTAATTAGAAACATTTTCTCAGACTTGGACACCTTTTTCTGAAGATTTTCATTCACTATTGCTAATTTAAAGAAAAAAAGACAAGCATTGCTGCTAAGTGAGTTAAAAAAAAAACTGCAGAACCAATGTTAGTTCCTCTGTGTACTGTGATATTTTGTGTAACATTAGAACACTAACATTTCTGAGGTTGAAGATAACTACCTTCTCTATACAGAAACAATACAATTTTGTGTTCCTATAGTATCTTTCACACAAGGACCTTGGAATGTTTTAGAGATTTTAATTAAAATTCAACACCTCTTGGAAGAGAGAGGAAAAAATAGAGATAATTCTTTCCAGTGAGGTACCTAAAGCCCAGAGGACTTCATTTCAGCTATCCACAACCCTTGGTAGTTAATTTCCACATTTGCTTTCGATCAGTCTATATCAACTAACTTTGTTGACTGTTTTTCTATTGGTTAACTTGTTTCTTTAGTTTCAACTCCCATTTCTTGTTACCACAGGAATTGTCACAAGATCATCTTGGGATTGTCTTGCTACACACACCAAGTTGAAGCTGCGAGCACACCATATGCCTAAAGGACCCTTACTCTTCAACCTCAACTCTCTTTTGACCTGCCAGCCAATCATCTAGGATTGCATACCACAGTATTGCATGTGTGTGTATGAAGGGGTGTGTTTTCCCCACAGATTCTATGCACTTTTTCTTTAACTCCCTAAATTCTCAGTAAAACCTTATTGCATATCAAATAAATTTGGCTAATTACTACTACGAGTAACACTCTTATCCCTTCTTAATTTAAGAATGGGAAAACAAGCAGAAGAGATCCACCATAAGAGGTACTGAATCAATGGACAGAACAAGAGGAAAAGATTATCAAATGGCACAAAGCAAAGCCTTGCTGAGGAGAGCAGAAAAACAAATCAGAGGAAACACTAAAGATGGCTGCAAGTCACAAAAGGGCCTTTCTGAGCAAGCGGCCAAGTGCTAAACAGGGACATATTAAAGCAGCAAACAAACAAGCAGTCCTTCCTGGAAGAATAAAATCTGTATGAGGAGTACTCTAAACTCTTATTTGAACATTAAAGGTTCAGCAAACCCACAAACATATTTCCAGTAATAAATTAAAAAGATACACTTGTTTAAAGAATAAAAAATGCATATCTCTCTCTTAAATGATCAGGAATCTGCCCATCCTCTACTTAGAAAAATTTGAATTTCTAAATACAAAAAAAAAGGGGAAAAAATGCTTAGAAAAAAACATCTCCTTTTACATACTACTGTTAAGTTTCTCTCCACAGAACAAAATAAACCCACCACATACATGGGAGGAAAAATGAGGGATAAGGAAAGGAGAAGGATATTGTTCATTTTTTCCTTTTTTTTTTTTTTTTTTGTAAATTCTGGTGATAACTGAGACTCCCTACATGGAGAGTACAGAATGTCAGCAAGAAAATGAACATTTTCTGTGATTTAAACACAAAACACTTCTATATTTTTAACTAAATCAAATAAGTTGCTATATCAATCAACTATTATTTCCAATGTCTATACTAATTATCAGAAAAACAGTTAAATCATGATATCTACACAATAAAATTGATTCAGTGGAAGATTTAACCACATGAGGAAATGTTTTACTGAACTGAACCTGTGGAAAAAAGCAAAAAAGTTACAAAACATCACAAACAATAACATATCAGGGATATTATAGGAATGAAACAAGTTTTCAGAGGCGTTGTAAGACAAAAGTAACTGAAGAAAGAAAATGCAGTAAGCTTTTTTAAAATATTTTCTTCATTACTTCTGCACTCACAATGCCATTACAAAATAGCCTTGGATTGAACCAGTTACTTTTTAAATGAATTTTCAGAGAATATTAGTATCTTTCAAAGTGAATTTAAAGTATTAAATATTTTAATTTGTATACATTTTATTTATTTATACTGTAAACGTTAGCTTCTCACTATCCTAAAAACTTCATAGCTTCAGCAAGTTATAGCATCTTCAGAGAAAAGATCTGGAATTGCAATCCACTTAACTGTTTTTAAATTAATGTTTTATATTTTTAAGTGTAAAATATTAGATATTTATTTGTCTACTTAAATGTTTTTAAAAAAAGCAGACAGTGGCCTTATGAATTCTTATACCCACGAGGACATTTTCTTTCTGCAGTATCTCCAGCACACACGGTATTTTATAAAGGCTTTGTACAATCTATCATAGGAGATTCTTTCTTTTAGATATTTTTATGATGAATAAAAGTGTTGAAAACATAATTAATGGTAATGGAAGCTAAAATGTAAGACTAAAACATACACAAACTCTAGAAATTTTTAAATTTAGAATATAAATCTTCAGCACAGAAAAGTAGAAACTATACATTCTATTTACCATTAATGGCAAATTCACAGCTCAAGTGATTTGCAATTTAATGGGAATTCAGAGAAAGCTATACTGCTTTGCACTTTTTTTCCTCCTACATTAATAGTTGATTGATAATAATTTTTAAACAAGAAAACATACCTATTCATACCAACTACAGTTTTACATAAGATACTACCTTCAGTAGTATTTTTAAGATTGTTCAAGGAAAGAGAAGACAGAGCCAGATTCTTTTCAGAGTGACAGGATGAGAGGCAACAGACAAAAGCAGAAATGT